GTAACTTTGCTGCCACAGATCCTCCGCACATTGAGTTATCTGGGCAGGAGAAGCCAGGGCGGTCAAGTCCAGAGGGGCAAAGGACGCAAAGGCAACAGCACGAGGGGTCTCAGTAGGAGCAGAGAAGGTAAGCGAGACAGAGGCGTGCTGGTAGCCACAGAGCGGAATAACGCAGGCCTGTTCCAAGAGATGGAGCGCATGCTCACTGAGGAAAACCGTGTCAATAGCGGTCCATAGGGGCCAAAGGGTCGACCCAAGCCCCCGTGCTGCAAGCGTCCGCAAGCGAAGCATAGGACAGGGGGTCCGCTTGGAAGTCGCCGGCAAAGACGACAGGGAAGTCCTGAACGAATTGGGCAGCGAAATCCAGTATCCTGGTGAGCAGCTCATCGTTGTGCTGGTGGGTGGGCTCATCCGAGGAGGCCCCAGAAACTCCATAGAAGTTGATAAGGAGAAAGCGGAGCCTCCCAAAGACAGCCCAAGATGCCTGGACGCGACCCGTAGCCAGCAGGGAGCCAAGGTGGCCGGTAACGTCCTTAGAGACATCAAAGTCGTAGACAACGCACGCCTGAGAAAGGACAGCGAGGCCACCCCACTCAACTCTTCGGACACCATTGACGTCAGCCGTGATGGGCAGGAGGGGACCAGGGGTAAGTTGGCGGTTCGCCTCCTGGGCCCGAATGTTGTCCGCCGAAAGGCGGGCCTCCTGCAGTAGGAGGACCTCGGCAGAGCAGTCAAGCAAGTCCGGATGTGCCAAGAAGGAGCCGACATTGTGCGAATGAAATGTGAGAGGCCCTTCGCCAGGAAAGCCAAGGGTAGCGGCAAAGCAAAACTGAGTAAAGAGAATGGGAGCTGCCCAGCTGAGGGGCAGGAGGCAGCACCCATAGCGTAAAGAGACAAGGTGGGCAGTGCGGCCCCACCGCAAGTGCCCCCAAGTACCAACAAAGCTGCACCACAGCACAAAAAGCCAAAGGGGAGTAAGACCACACAAGGCCCCGTATCCATGGCAAGACCATGGGGCATAAGGGCAAAGGAGGGGAGCTCCCCTTTGGAAGAACCAGGTGCACAGACCCCCCGGCGAAGGGGGGGCTGTGAAGAACCAACTGGGCGGCCTTGAAAGCAGGGGCCGGCTCAGGGGAGCAGGCGCGGCCGGGCTTGGAGACTGCTCCCAGGATGCGAGAGAGCTGCGCAGAGACCTGCGAGAACTGTGTCTCAACCTTATCAGCAAGGCAATCCTGCTTGGCTTCCAAGCCGCCAAGTCGCGCCTCCAGGGACCCGAGGTGGTAGCTGGGGTCTGAGTGTCAGCAAGGGCAGCGCGGCTTGGGCGTTGCCGTGGTGCAGAAGGCCGGCCAGTCTTGGTACGAGAGGAGGTAGGTGGCTCCAAGGCAAGGAGTACCTCACAGGGACGGCCCGCAGAGAGCAGGGGGAACTCCAACAAGGGAGGATCCTGACCAAAAGCAAGGACATTCCTCCAGAAAAGAACGGAGGGGTATGCACGGGACTCCAACAGCCTTGAGGACAGCCTCAGAGATGGCCCCAGGTGTGGCCCCAAAGAGCAAGCCCTCGGCGAAATAGTTGACTCTGGGGACAAGGGCTCGGTTGGCCTCACAGAAACGGGGGTCGTCCTGCAGGAGGGCCCGACGGGCAACCGCAAGGTGGGCGTTGAGAATGCGCACAACCAGGCCACGCTTCAGAGGAGCAAGTCCAGCGAAGGTGTCAAGGGCGCGGGTGACCGCTAGTGCAGAGCGAGTACCATCAGGGGTGAGAGGCCAGAACCTGTGCACTATGGAATGATCAAGGGGGTCGCTGCCTCGTGCCAAGAAATCACGGACAAAGTGAGAGCTGATGCCAGAGAGCCTCAAACATGCAAGGCGAAGCCGGACTTTCAGAGTGATCTGAAAGACTCGGCCGAGACCGTGCGGAGAGCCCTGCAGGATTCTGAGGGCGTAGCAGGACTGCAAGGCACCATCAGGGAGGAAGCCTTCGAGTATGCCACGAAGGTCCGACATAGAGCGCCCGACGTAAGCCGGGAAGTCAGTAGCAAGTTTCTCGAAGACCTCAACAACGAGCTCAACAAAGTCATCAGTGTCAATGATGACAGCATCAGCAGTGACAGGCCGGTAGACAATACCGGGAATCAGATGGACAAGGATGACCTGGCCGCTTGTAGGTGGTCCCGGCCTGAACATCAAGAACACTGATTTGCATGGGCCCTTCAACCGCCAGGTGGGAAGGCAGGGAAGGCAGAGTGGTTCTGGAATTGCCCGGGACAATGAGGGCAGTGGGGCCAACAACCTGCAGGCGGAGGCTTTCAGCGAGAGCACTGACAGGGCAAAAGGCCAGGCCAGACACCAGGGGTCCAAGTTGGCCTCGGGGGACCAGAGCAGGGACTTCATCATCCCCAACGAGCGGGAGGGGGGGAGCAAAAGATCCTCCCATTTGGCATGGGGTCGGGGTTCCTGTCGAGTGGAGAACCGCGTAGGGCCAGGGAGGCCCGGGGGGGAGGCCCACGGGTCGCATCGGGTAAGGGGGTCCTCAGGGACCATCTCTTCATCCTCCGAAGGTGGCTCCGAAAGCGCGGGAGAGCGTGAGCCAGCTCCTCCTCCAGGCAAGGGAAACAAGCGCAAGGTGACATGAGCATCTTGGCAGCGGCTGACAGGGTCTGTGTCGGGGACACCACGCCCCTGGATGTAGGGTCGCACGTGCATGAGAAGGCGGTCAGGTAGGGGGAGTGTCCAGATGACTTGCCGGAGAGTGACGTGTTGTGGGACACTCCTAGAGTGTTCCCTCCGTAGTGGGTCGTGGAAGTGGACAGTGACCTGGGGAGGGAACATTGGGACCGGAGCAGGTTGTGGTTCCAACTCCTCGGGTTCCTGTGCAGGAACAACAGTGAGGATGTGACCAGTGAGGTCATGGGCCGGCTCACGAAGATCCCACACTCTGGCAAAAGAGGAGAGAGCAACATGGGGAAAGACCACAGGTGGCACGCGAGCAGTGAAGAGAACCAGGGCAACAGTGGCACCAACAGGATAGGTAACCTCAACCCGAAATCCGCCCGGTGAGTAAATGGCAGTGCGGGCAACGCCCAGGCGGTAGGCAAAGTAGAGGAGGGGGTAAGCCTCCTCTCGGACCACAATGGGAGGACTTTGAAGGTTAGCCCTTTGTGCAACCTGTGGGTGGAGGGCAAAGTCAAGCAGGGGACCCAGTGGGCCGATGTAGTACCAACCCCTGACAAGGGCAGCGTGGAGTTGTGGACCCCACATGCGACTCCTCCAAACCTGCAGCACAAGGTGCTCGGGCTCATGCGACACAAGCCCAAAGAGGCTCAACATGATGGCCCATGGGATGGCTGCTTGAGGGACCGAAATGGAGTTGCCAAGACCAGCAAACACATCCTCCAAGGGTGGAAGAAGTATGAGTGGACGAGTGGCACCCAGCCATAAAGCCCACTGGGCAGGTGAGAGGAAGGCAGGCCGCTCATCAAGGTGAGTGAGCTGGGCAAACAGACCCCGGTCGGCAAGTGTGTCCGCAGCCAGCAGATGCTGTTGACTGTACCTGGCACAAAGAGTGCGCAGAGGAGCGTCGGGAGAAGGGATGCGACTCAGTAGACATCACGCGAGCTCTCAAGTCCTGCCCCGGCAAGACAGGCAGGATTGGTGTAGTATGGCAGGGTGGCCGCATCTAGAAGCCGAGCGTGGTCCATCTCAGGGGCTTCCTGAACCTGGAAGGACTCATGTGTCCAAGGGACCGGAGAGGGATCCTGGAAGAGTCCAACAGGCTGGGAGGGCGGCAGATCAACATCATGGCGGATTAGAACAGCAAGCCATCTGCGCCGAGTGCAGGGACCAAAAACAGCATGGTTATGGAGCATAGTGGTATGCACAGTGAATCCAGCCCATCGGATGAAGGCCAGGATGATGGGGTAGTGAGGGTGCACAGGGAGAGCGTCCACACACTCCATCAACAGTGCCAAGGGGGCAGCACGCCGAGCCCACAACATGGTCTCCAGGAAGCAAACGCCTGCGGGAACTTCCAGGCCATCCCGGGAGGAGGCTCGAGACCAGGGGGGACAGGGAGGAGAGGCCGTGGCCACGTGGCAACCAGTCCAGGGAACGACGTGGCCGCCTGTTGTCCACCAGGACCTCATGGACAACCACAAGGCCAAGGGACCTGCTAATGCATTCGAGGGCCTGGCCCCAACCATGAAAAGCACCAGCAAAGAGGTGGGTGACCGAGAGCGGTTCAGCCGGCAGGGGGCTCCCGATCCTCCATACGACCGTATCCTCCTCAATCCGGGCCACGCGGGGGAGGGTGCCAGGTTGCAAGGTGACCCCAAAGGCACGAAAGTGCTGCTCACCCGGCTGCAACAGGGCCTGAAAGAAGCTAGGAGCCCGGAGTTCAAACGTGAAGAGAAGGCGCCGAGCACGTGGAGTAGCATGCAAGTCAGGCGGCAGGCCAGGAGAGAAAAGGGAACACTCCCAGGTGGAATCACCAGTTTGGGCATCGACCCGGAACTGAAGCAAGGCTTGCCCATGCCACATGAGAGGTTCGGCACTCTGGAAGAAAGTGCCCTGCTCGATCAAACCATCGAGGGAGCCAAGAGCACGGTCCGACAAGGAGCCCAAAGCACGCAAGACAAGGGGGTCACGCGTCAACATGGCAGAGAGCCAAAGCCACACCGCAGAAGCCCAAGCACGCACAGGAGCCAAAAAGGCAAAGGGCAGGGGCAGCGAGGGGTGGCGGCCACAGGAGCAAAGGCGGGGCGGCGGAGATGGGTATCCACCTTAGTAGACGCGTGACGCTCCAGGGAGGAGTCGCCACGCCCCGGGTGCCCAGAACCCTGAGGCGAAAGACCTTGGAGCCAGACGCCTATAAGGGTACCCTTTTTTCTGCAGTCTATTTTAATAGGGGAAGCCTCTCCCCAAAAAGGGTGAGAAAGGGCCCTGCTGGAGCCCCCCGAGCATTGGGGGGGACTCGCGGCACTAGTGGCAACTTTGCCCGTCCTTGGGCGACCGAACTTCTTCAAGGTTCGCCTCGGGGCGGCCATTCGTCGGTAACGCCCAGACCCAGACCTGTAGATTTCCGAGCAACCAGCCACAGGAGTGGAAAACAAAGGGGCACTCAAGTTTTTGACGGGTGGAAGCTGATTGGAGGGTTCTGCCCTTGTTTTCCTTTTTGGGAAGCCTCTGCTCCACTTCTATGGCGGTTGGAGAAAGGGCATGGCTGGTAAGGGCACCACTGGCCGTCTGGACCATTGAGAAAACCAAGTGCGGCGCCACTGATAGATCAAAACCAGCAGACCCCACCCTTTTCTAAGGGCCCGGGTGCCTGAGATTGCTCAACCGAGCAGGGGTTTAAAAGGCAAATCCGGAGCAACTTGGGAGCGTGAACTGGGGTCTGCTGTTTGGATGCTTTGGCGAACTCAAGCCGAAACCAAGCTGAGGGAAAAACCAGCAACATGGACGGGTCTCTTACTCAAACTCACACCCAGGCGTCGCTTTTTCCACCTGGGCAACCCGCTCCAGCATCCAAACCAACTCTTGTTCAGTTGACACAGAGCCACCCAACTTTGGGCCAAGCAATGAACAACTGTGAATCAATTCTTCCCAGCATCTCCCCGCAACCTGGATTCCAAACAAGGCCGGCCGAAGGGTGTGTCATTTGTGGAGGGCACTCACCTTCGGGTTGATGGTTGAGAGCCCGACGGACATCCTACTTCTTGAGGAATTTGCTGGGTCTACCGGCCCATAAGACGCAAGCAAGCACGCGCGTAAATAGCTTGGAGCCCTTTCCCAAAAGCGCCACCCCATGTGGAGAAAACTCCATGTAAATTATCCACAGGGTGATGCTTAGCACGCAGATACGGACCTCTACCATTGCGCTCGATGCATGCAGGCAGCTATCTCCACGTGCGGCCTGCTTGGCCGTCCATCCTCGCGCAGGATGGACGCATTGCAACATGACAGCTGGCCAAGGAAAACATGATTGATCTAGGTCCTCCAGTAGAGAGGTTAGAATAAGCGTACCCTTTTTTTTCTGTAGTTCCCCAGATAGCTGCAAGCTATAGGGGTTCTAACTTCTAATCAAGAAGGGAAAGTGATTTGCGAGATTGAGGGCCGGGTGCTGGGGGGCATGCAGTTTGGGGCGCTGGTGGAGGTGCTGTTTTGCGAGCTTGACGGCCGGGTGCTAGGGGG